CTGTAACCTCATTCTACAAATAGCCAGGGGGAGAATCAGCTCTGTTCCCATAGTGACAGCTCACTGTATTTGCTATCTTTACAAGGTGGAACACATGTGAGGTTTGGAAATGATAAATCAGACATATCAAAAGTGACTACCTAAGGTGACTATTTCTATAGAAGAACTAACATTATTTTTAGAATTCCCTATGAAAAGAAAATAGAGGCTAGACTATACCTGTGGTCCCAGCTACTGGGAAGTCTGAGGCTGAAGGATCCCTCGAGCCCAGGAGATTGAGGCTGCAGTGAGCTACGATAGCACCACTGCTCTCCAGCCCAGGTGACAAAATAAGACTCTGTCTCTTAAAAAAAGAAACGAATGCTCTGTATGGTTTCCATTAATCTTAAACCATACGACCCTGCCTGCATTTACACTGTATGCTTCTATCAGCCACGCAGAGAGCAAATGCCCCACTAAGTTGGTGATCAGGCTTTTGGTGACCACAACTCTGCAACAAAAGCTATTGCGATGGTTAATACTGAGTGTCAACTCGATTGGATTGAGGATAAAAAGTATTGATCCTGGGCATGTCTGTGAGGGTGTTGCCAAAGGAGATTTAACGTTTGAGTCAGTGGGCTGAGAAAGGCAGGCCCACCCTTAATCTAGGTGGGTACAATCTAATCAGCTGCCAGCTTGACCAGAATAAAAAGCAGTCAGATGGCTGGGAGCAGTGGCTCATGCCTGTAATCCCAGCACTTTGGGAGGCTGAGGCGGGCAGATTGCCTGAGCTCAGGAGTTCGAGATCACCCTGAGCAACATGATGAAACCCAGTCTCTACTAAAATACAAAAAATTAACCAGGCCTGGTGGCATGCGTCTGTAGTCCCAGCTACTAGGGAGGCGCTACTAGGGAGGCTAAGGCATGAGAATCGCTTGAGCCCAGGGGGCAGAGGTTGCAATGAGCCAAGATTGAGCCACTGCTCTCCAGCTTGGACCACAAAGTGAGACTCCATCTTAAAAAAAAAAAAAAAAAGCAGGCAGAATGTGAAAAGACTAGACTGACTTAGCCTCCCAGCCTACATTTTTCTCCCATGCTGGAGCTTCCTACCCTAGAACATTGGACTTCAAGTTCTTCAGCTTTGGGCTTCCTTGGTCCTCAGCTTGCAGATGGCCTCTTGTGGGACCTTGTGATTATGTGAGTTAATAGTCCTTCATCAACTCCCCTTCATATGTATCTATCCTATTAGTTCTGTCCCTCTAGAGAACTCTGACTAATACAGCTATGAAACTGGAGGTAAAGGGAATCATCTAAAAAAGTGGAAAGAGCAGTCACAAAGTCTGTCTTCTTCTGTAAAACAGAAACTGGGCCCTAGCTAAAAACAAGTTACTCACCAAACACCCATGCATTCATTCAAACCTACAGGTCGTACTATACGATTCCTACTTTCTCACAGTCTGTGGGAGAAGCAGGAGAAGCAGAAGCACACAATGCTGACCACAATGCTGGGTTCTAAGGGTCAGGGCACTGCAGAGCCCACACCTAACCACAGAGGGGCAGCAGCTTGCTCTGCTTAAGATCAGAAGCGATGACCTTCAAGATGTGCCTTTAACAATGAGGACACGCTCACCAAGTGGGAAAGGAGACAAGAAGAGATGCAAAAGCGGCCAGGCGCGGGTGGCTCAAGCCTGTAATCCCAGCACTTTGGGAGGCCGAGACGGGTGGATCACGAGGTCAGGAGATCGAGACCATCCTGGCTAACACGGTGAAACCTCTTCTCTACTGAAAAATACAAAAGGCTAGCCGGGCCAGGTGGCGGGCGCCTGTAGTCCCAGCTACTCCGGAGGCTGAGCCAGGAGAATGGAGTAAACCCAGGAGGCGGAGCTTGCAGTGAGCCGAGATCCGGCCACTGCACTCCAGCTGGGCAGCAAAGCGAGCCTCCGTCTCGAAAAAAAAAAAGAAAAGATGCAAAAGCAGACCTGTGAATGGCAAGATTCTGGGACGCACTGGGTTTTCTAAGCAAAATAAACATTTGAGGTAGAAAAAAAAAAAGTACCAGTAGGGTTCAGAGTCCATTTTTAGAGCACTGTTTGACCCCACCTACCCCATTTCTAGCTCACAGCTTTTTAAAACCTTCAACAACAATAATCATGAAGTAAGCAGAAAAAAGTTTTATTCTCACAATAGAACAGCAGCTGGACAAACAGGCTTTCAAGTTAGGCAGACATGATTTCGAATCTCGGCTCCTCCACTGCCTATCTGTGTGTCCTTGGTAAGTTAGTTCACTTTTTTTTTTTTTTTTTTTGGAGATGGAGTCTCACTCTGTCGCCCAGGCTGGATTCAAGCAATTATCTGCCTCAATATCCCGAGTAGCTGGGATTATAGGCGCCCGCCACCATGCCTGGTTAAATTTTTGTATTTTTAGTAGAGATAGGGTTTCACCATCTTGGCCAGGCTCGTCTCAACTCCTGACCTCATGATCCACCCGCCTCAGCCTCCCACAATGCTGAGATTACAGGCGTGAGCCACCACGCCCAGCCGTTAGTTCACTTTTGAGCCCGTTTCCTGTCTAAAAATAATCCTACTATCTCTGAGGTAGGTTGTGATGATTCCATGAAATAATGGTAAAGCAATCGGCTCAGTTCAACAAATTATGATGCTTCTAAATAAAGGAATCAGGAAAGAACCTAGGTGGTGGGTCAGTATTTACCTTTCCCAAGTCAATCTAGTCGCCGCTGTCTCGATTTTAGAATGAAAAAGCAAATTTTCTGTAGTACTACAACTAAGATTATTTTTTTTAAATAGCATTTCTGCCAAATACTGTAGCTCTGTAATACATTTCTAACACAGTTGATCAATAGTTTGACTTAACTATAGAAAGCAACTAAGTGAAATTTTATAGAATTCTTGGAGATGATACAATAAGAGAGTAACAGAGCCCAATGAATTAATCAGTCTTCATTAAACTAAGGTTGCTTCTAAGTTACTTTAAACGGGTGGCTCACTCCACTCTTTTGAAATATATATACCATGGAAAGAATGATCTGTAATCTTTCTTGCTAATCAATATTTTTCACAATCTCCATCATGAAAGCCTATCACATTTTAGTTCACACATACATTATTTCTCCTTCTGAGTTACATACAGGAAACTACCACTGGCATAAGAATCCATCCCATTCTTTAAAAGGAAGTCACTTGTTGGCCGTTCCTGTAGGCATTATTTTCTAACACTCCGCAAAGTACCTGATTTTTACATTTTTTAGTCACAAAACCTTTTCAGTAGGAAGCTAATTGAAATCTCTACTGCAAAAGAGAACAGAGCTGCTAGGATGGAGAGGAGCCCAAGACAGGCAAAGAAACTGTGGGAAATTCTAAACAAGGAAGCATGATGTCTCCTGAATTCCTTCTGGTTCTGAGTGACAGAGACAAGAACTGTAATCATCAGTCCAGTCAAGGGCCACAGCATTAAGATAAGAGGATGATCTCTGTGTGTTCCTCCTATTTATGGAACCCACTCTCTCTACCAGAGGTGTTCAATGAAACGATAAGAGATGGCAATAGACTCAGCACTTAGCCAACATCCTTCTCCTTCCAAGTCCCTGTGGACACACTGATGCTGGAGATGCCAAATGCTGTAGGTGTTTTAGCTTGTGCCAGGAAAAAAGAACCCCTGCTGGTTAATGGGCTTCCATTCTTCATGAACTCCAGTTTCTCACAAACTCATCAAAGGAGAGTGCAGTGACCCTAGTTAAGTCAACACACTGATTCTTCCCTTGGCCCCCATCAGAAGATGACATCTCTTGACACTAGTCACCAAATGCTGCTGAACGAATTACTATCATCTCTGTGCTTCCATTTCCCTTTTTACAAATAGGGATAATAATAGTGCTATTGCTTAGAATTGTGGCAGGGACTGCGATGATAGCTAGCACTTATTTGTGCCTGTCACATAGCAAGAGCCCAAAACTGTTAGCTACTATCAACAACAGCATCATCATCATCTTGGAGTCTGGAGAGACGTGGCATTTCCTTCACAAAATAAGAAAATTGTGGAGAGCAACAATGAAGATTTTAAAGTCTAAAATTAACTCTCCAAAAAGTGCTTTCACCACGAATTGCACAATGTCAATGGGTACTCAGTACAATTACCCCAAACTAATCCTAATCCCAAGTAAGAATTAATGTTTGGAACATATAATGGGGGAAAAAAAAATTTCCCCTTGGAGTATAAAGCAACAATGAATGACTACACAGCAAAAGTCTCCTAAAAATGTAATTTTAAGCTGCTGCTCCGAAGTCAGATGTGACTTACAATTCAGCACTTTGATTCAACTGTTAGAGAAGAATAAAAGGCAGAATACAGCTTCCTTTAAAATCAGTTTTGTTGCCATGTTTAATCAACTTCTCTGTAAGAAACCTCTGAAATTTAAATATAGAAGCAAATAGGTTGTGGTTTGCTTATAGTTCATGCCAGTTGTAACATATATTCTATATTTACCAATGCACACAAGTGCACATGTATGCACAGTTCCATTAGAAAAGGCTTAAGCATGCTTTTTAATTTAAACAAAAGCAGAGTTCTATTTAAAATCAGCTGCCAACACTCACACCAAATCTATATTCTTGGAATCTGTTTCTTCAAAATCAATTTTGATGAAAGTGAAAAAAAATCTTCAGGGAAAAATAATTTTGTAATCCAAGTAGTAGCAGGGAGAAGATACTGTCCCCTTCCATTTAAATGTTGAGCTACAAGATTGTCTAATAAAGATCGTATTTTCTACTTGCTTGCAAGTTCCAGTGTTTTGTGTGTTTTTTAAAGGACCTCTCAAATCTCTCCTACCCTAAATCCTACAGCAGCACGTTTGAAAACAAGGAGACACATAGCACAGGTAACTTGGAATTCCGTTTGGAATGACCCCACCACACCGAGCAGACCTCCGAGTAGCCTCTGAGCACGCTGCCAACAGCAGCAGCACCCAGCATGGCAGAGCTGGAACCCCTCGCCAAAGGACACTGACCTTTTGATGACTTGTGACTTCGTCCCGGCTTCTCCCCAGCTCCTCAGCAAGTTTAACGTTCTCTTCTTGCAATGCTGAAAGCTGCTGGGACTTCTGAGCTGCTGCCTGCTTTAGGGTTTCTCTGCAAGGACAGTGAGTGCAGGGTTACCATAGAAACAAGACAGGCAAGGAAACTGTGGGAGACAACCAGCTTCACAGCACTGAAGAAAATATATCTGGGTCACGTGCCTGATAGGATCTATAATAACAGCAGACAGTATTATCTACATGCAGAAGGGGCTAAATGGCCACAACCTCCCAAAAGGAGGACTGCCACCCACAATTATTACATTTTTCAGAACCTAATAAACCCTATGGCCACCCTCCCACCACCCACTTACCCCATAAAAAAAGAATTTTGCTATAAAATAAATGACAAATGAGATAGTCGGTACAGCCCTCCTATCTTTAGGAATATTTCCGTTAGATGATTTTACTAAAACCCACTTCGTTGATAAAGTGATTTAATTTGCTGCCAAGGCACTCTGTTCTAACTGCACAGATCTATAATTTATTTTTTTTTCTGGAAGAAATACAAATCCAATGGTCCCATTTACCAGTGTATCTGTCAGAGTCAAGTGCTGATGTAAATCTGAGTATATTTTTAGGACAACTAGAGGCGGAATGCCCAAAGGAAATACAGTTTCCTAATTACATAATAGGTGTTTTATTTTGATAGTAGTCTTTCCACAATGCTAATTTATAATTGAAAGAAGCAAATAAAAATATAATACAGACTACTAACTTATACCATGAATATCAGCATTAAAAAAATGAACCGGATAGGTATATTTATTAAACATCTTCTTGTTCTTAAAATAATCCAAAACATAGATCCTAAACATTATCCTTTATACATGAATATGCACAATATTTGAGCACTAAATCTTAGTTTTATGTTATAGAGGGTTTTGATGGAATTGTGAATTTTAAGTACATCTGTGTTGGTTAAACTCCGTTTAGCAAGCTGTCATACATGGCTGAATTCTCAATCAAGTCATCTGGGTATGAATCCATCTGCTGATGCATGAACGCATCTATTTTTAACTTCAATTGTCTAATGGGTGGCAGTTCTCGGCACATTCGATTTTCTCAATTTTTATTTCTCCATCCACCTATAATATGCACACTGGGATGACCTCAGGAAGACTTAGGGAAATAAATCTACACAAAAATTCTCTTAGCACACTAAATTAGGCTTTTTACAGAGATGTTTATTTAGCAATTGAAGATAAACTGAGAAGGGATTTTAGCCTCAGCTAGTCACTCACGAAAGAGACTCATATATATGAATCTCTATATATATGTATATATGTATGTACATACACATACACACACATCACAGCAAAAGTTCATCTGTCCAAAGTCCATCAATCTTTGACAAATCAGATTTCCTTATGGTAAAATCACCATAAGCCAAATGTATTTCCCAGGTGGTCACTGCTTTCATGAGTGGCTACATGGTGTCTGCATGTGTGTGGCCTGTCAAAGTGCTACGCTTATACTCCTGTTCCTTCCTCTCTCAAGCCTACAGGAAGGAAAATTATAACAATGCATCAAGGAAGTAATCTAAAAGTGGCCAAAGTGTCCTAAAGAATTGACCTATAAAAACAAAATCATTGGGTTTTTTTTTGTTATTGTTGTTTTGAGACGGAGTCTTGCTTTGTCACCAGGCTGGAGTGCAGTGGCGCGATCTCAGCTCACTGCAAGCTCTGCCTCCCGGGTTCACGCCATTCTCCTGCCTCAGCCTCCTGAGTAACTGGGACTACAGGCATGTGCCACCGTGCCCAGTCAATTTTTGTATTTTTAGTAGAGACGGGGTTTCATCATGTTGGCCAGGATGGTCTGGATCTCTTGACCTCATGATCCACCCACCTCGGCCTCCCAAAGTGCTGGGATTACAAGTGTGAGCCACCACGCCCGGCCAAAATTATTGTTTTAAAATTTACAAAATGCTTCCATTTTCTCATTTAATCCTCAAAGCCCAAGGAAGTTAATGTTATTTATGTTTTAATGAGAAGATTGAAGCTCCAGGAAGTAAACAGATTTGCCCCAAATCATAAAGCCAGTACGCAGCAAAACCACAAGAACAGGAGCTGCAGTTGGCAGATGACTTCAGTCGTGATTCAGACCTAGAGCACTTCGTTTTTTCTTTAGTGGGTAGCGGGTGAATCCATTTCATAGAGGAAAGAGGCTCCAATAACCCAAATTCTGGAAATACTCAAGGAATGATTCTCAAAATAGCTACAAAAATATTTCTACTGGTTTTTAAAGAAGCTACTTTTCTTTCTACATGACAAGATATCTTGACGCAGAAAAGACTAGGTTTAAAACTAAAGACAAACATTGTTAATATTGACATGCAAACATTTTACTTATGAATCCATCATAAATCTATTATCACGCTAAATGTATTGTACATTTACTACTGTGCTAGGTGAGTAAAGACAAAAATTAGATTGCTTATACCCTTTTTTCCCTAAGATCCAAAATTATACACAAGAAACTGTTTCATTGTTGATTTACAACTGAAAATAGGAGCTGGCTAACCAAAATCAAGCAAGAGCTTTCCTAAAAGCAGACTTGTAAGTGGCACACAGGAAAAGAACATTCAGTTACAAGTGCTGGTTTCCAGGGGCAAGGGTGATATTCTAGAGGGAGTGGTTCCTATTAGAACCCCTTTGGTGGTTGAGCGCAGTGGCTCAAGCCTGTAATCCCAGCACTTTGGGAGGCTGAGGCAGGCGGATCACTTGAGGCCAGGAGTTCAAGACCAGCCTGGCCAACATGGCAAAACCCCATCGCTACTAAAAATACAAAAATTAGCTGGGTGTGGTGCATGCCTGTGATCCCAGCTACTTGGGAGGCCGAAGTGGCATGATGAATTGAACCCGGGAGGTGGAGGCTGCAGTGAGCTGAGACTGCTGCCACTGTCCTCTAGCTTGGGCAACAGAGTGAGACCCTGTCTCAAAAAAAGAAAAAAAAAAAAGAAACCCTGTGTCTATATTGGTCCCCTTTTTCTCCAGTAACCACAGTCCTATTAGGTGAAGAGAAACACCAAAAAAGCTCCAGAGGACACGCAAAACCCCACACACATTAAACCACGGAAGAAGTAAGTGGCTGCTCATTCTCCAGCTTTGAGCTCTGAGGAATAAGACTAAGGAGGAGCCAAGTGACTGCTTTGTTTTGAGAAGCACTGTTCCCATTACACAGTCCTCTTACAGCAGAAGGCCCTAGAAACCAGACCAGGGGGCCACTGGTCATCAGGGGCAGGGGTTTTTTCAACCTACTCCCCACACCTCCTGCGCTGGCTTCCATGGAACGCTACCAGCGTGTCTCCCACCGTTCCTCCCTCCTGTTAACAGTCCCAGGCATATTGTGCCAAGTCACTAACAGGAAGATCTGATTCCCTCAGGTCTGTTGGGGCAGAAAAAAGGTAGAAAATCCAAAGCAGCCCAGGCTCTTTCTGCTCTGGGATCCGGTTCTTCCCTACCCAAATGTGTTCAGGGATCAGAGGTCTGGGGAGTGCAGCACCAGGAACAGCTCAGCACAGGCTGGGGCTAGCATGACAGCAGCTGGAGCCACGATCTCAGCTAAGCTTTTATTAGCCAATGGAATAATTCGAAGGAGGAGGTCACAGAAACAACTTATGTCACCCGGCCAGGCACGGTGGCTCATGCTTGTAATCCCAGCACTTTGGGAGGCCGAGGAGGGCGGATCACCTGAGGTTGGTAGTTCAAGACCAGCCTGATCAACATGGAGAAACCCCGTCTCTACTAAAAATACAAAATTAGCTGGGCATGGTGGTGTGTGCCTGTAATTCCAGCTATGGAGGCAGGAGAATCACTTGAACCCAGGAGGCAGAAGTTATGGTGAGCCAAGATCATGCCCCTGCACTCCATCCCGGACAACAAGAGCAAAACTTCATTTCAAAAAAACAAAAACAAAAACAACAACACCAAAAAACTATTTGTCTTCATAAAGGTGAAATCAGCGCCACACTGAGGGTCGGTGACATGATAGGATTCAGTGAGGACTCTGAACATTAAAGGGTGATCTCACTGGAATACTAGTAATGACCACAACAAGACTCCTAAGAGCCGGGCACAGTGGCTCCCGCCTGTAATCCCAGCACTTTGGGAGGTCAAGGTGGGCAGATCATTTGAGGCCAGAAGTTCAAGACCAGCCTGGCCAACATGGTGAAACCCCATCTCTACTAAAAATACAAAAAAATGGCCAAGCGCAGTGAATCACGGCTGTAATTCCAGCACTTTGGGAGGCTGAGGTGGGCAGATTACAAGGTCAGGCGTTCGAGTACAGCCTGGCCAATAGGATGAAACCGTTTCTACTAAAAATAGGAAAAGTAGATGGGCATGGTGACAGGCACCTGTAATCCCAGCTAGCTACTCAGGAGGCTGAGGCAGGAGAATCGCTTGAACCCGGGAGGCAGAGGTTGCAGTGAGCCGAGATTGCACCACTGCACTCTAGACTGGGCTAAAGGGTGAGACTCCATCTCAAAAAAAAAAAAAAAAGTACAAAAAAATTAGCCGGGCATGGTGGCGCACGCCTGTAATCCCAGCTACTTGGGAGGCTGAGGCACGAAAATTGCTTGAACCCAGGAGGCAGACATCATGGTGAGCAGAGATCACACCACTACACTCCAGTCTGGGGAACAGAGTGAGACTCTCTCTGAGAAGCAAACAAACAAACAAATAAAAACAACAAAGGACTCGTAAGTAGTACTGCAGGAAAGTGGAATTTTATCTAAACCCCACGAACCCTCTTGGCCAGGTCCACTTGGCCCTGCCCCTCCAACACCTAGTAGGACCCAGGGAGTTCGATGGTGGGATTACGGCAGCGGAGGCTGGAGAGGGAGTCTCCCATGGCAGTTCACACACTCCCTTACCAGCTGCCCGTGGGACACATCGCAGGAATTCAACCTGATGCCCCAAAGCCCTCCAGGTTTGCAAAATGACTCGTGTCACCAGAAAAGAAATCCTAAGCTGTACCTGCACCCCGCTTCCTGAATGAATAGAACTGTCACATTACAACAAATGACTTTGCTTTTCCTGTCATGGTGACCCATCTTCTATTTGTGTCATTTGATGTTGGCAGGCCAAGGAAATTGAAGCCTCCCCTGATGACCATAATCATAATTGTAAATTTATAAATCTGCAGAAGTGAAATTGTTGGAACTGTTTAAACATAATCCCATCATCTAGAGACCCGCCATTTCAACTAGGACCGAGGAAGAAAATCGCTGACATCACAAGCTGTACATCTCCTCGCAGGAGCAGCTCAGATCAGATTCTTCCCAGGAAAATTTTAAAACTCTCAGAAGAACCACACATGTGCTAGCTTAATCCAAGCTCAATCAACAAATAGTATTGAGGATGGTGACTTAAAACAGCAGTTTGGAACTGATGCTTTTGTTTTTGTTTGAATCTCATCTATGTATTAGGATTGGAAATAAAAGACACAAACCCCTGAAGGGCAGGGACCATATATACTCACCTTCTTATGCTTCCTACCTTAACTGTACCTACCATGAAAGAAAAAGACACATTCAAATGTTCACCAGGTGAATTAGCTTTAGCGTTTTAGGTTAATACGGTTGATACAGTGTAGTTAACAGAAGATCAAATGAAATATACACTGTAACCATCCTTTAAAATGTCAGAAAATGCCAATCTCTAATAACCACACTAGCCAAACTTGAAAGGCAAGAACTGAGTTAGCATCAACAAAGGAAGTATGAACAGTCTGTCTGCCTGAAACCATGTAACAAACTGATGTGTAAATCTTAATTTTAAAGCCTTCCAAAATGCTGGTCATTTCATTTGCATGCCAGATGGTTTGATTACTTTTTTTTTTTTTTTTTTTTTTTTTTTTACTATAAAGAGAGTTTTGAGGGACTTGCTAATAAAGGGTCTGACATTTCCAAATGTTAAGATTGGCTGGCCAGGTGCAGTGCTCACGCCTGTAATCCCAGCACTTCGGGAGGCTAAGGCGGGAGGATCACTTGAGGTCAGAAGTTCAAGACCAAATGTTAACATTCTGCTTGTACTTTCAAGGCTTTCAAGTCACTTCTTTTCTTTTTTTTGAGACAGGATCTCACTCTGTCACCCAGGCTGGAGTGCAGTGGCACGATTACGGCTCACTGCAGCCTCAACCTGCCAGGCTCAAGCGATCCTCCCACCTCAGCCTCCCGAGTAATTGGCAAATAGGCATGCACCACCATATCCAACTAATTTTTATATTTTTTGTAGAAACAGGGTTTCGCTGTGTTGTCCAGGCTGGTCTCAAACTCCTGGGCTCAAGTGATCCACCCATCTCAGCCTCCCAGTGTTGGGATAACAGGCACGTGCCACCACACCCAGTCCAAAATCACATCTGAATCCCCAGCTTAACTCATCAGCCAGTACACATTTCATTCTGATCCTTTAACTCAGCTGTGGTTCTGACTTCATAGCGGTTACTGATGTTACTTCTAGGGTATGCAATAGAGTTGGCATACGTTTATGTGCTTCTCAAATATTTTTAAAATAATTAGCATTGTGTCCACGTTTTCAATTTAAAATAAATTCCGTATTTTTTTCTCAAAGGAGAGAAACTTACATTTCTTTCCTAAATTCTTCCATTTTTTGATTCTCCACAGTCAGGAGTTCTTTTGATTTGTTCAGCTCTTCCACATTTTTCAAGTTGTTTTCTTTAAGTGTGTCCAACTTAAAGACCAAGAGAAAAAAGCTTGATGAAATTATTTCATTTTCCAATGACATGAATGAACAAATTATTCATGAAAGTGTGTACTGAAAAGACAGATGAAATTAGTCACTTGCAAAAAAAAAAAAAGTCTCCTGGGTGAAGAGATTACAGATGACAAGTCTATTACAAACTGCAAACCTCCTCCTTACATTTAGTCTGACATATCCTGTACACCTGGCCAAAATGTCAAACTAAATTGCTACAGAGAAGTAAAGTTTTCTTTCATGTTGTGTACAATTCTCAGCACTTATCACAGAACTTGCTATTCAAATATGATTCATTAAAAACAAGAAATAAAATGCAAAGCAATTACATCAGCAAGGATTATTCTTCGTAATGAAAAGAAACCCTTTTCTTTTCCCAGAGATTAGTGATTTAGGATATGATATTGTTCAGTGTCACTACCAGATTTACATAGTCCTCATTACAAAAATTATTTATTTGAATCAAAATTATTTGTAGATTGGAAAAAAATTTAGTAACCCATCTGAACTTGAACCTGAAGAGGAAAAAGTCACGTTGTGGGACTGAAGGGCACTTACACCCATTTGGCTCCATCATTGGCCCACGGGGATGCAGCCAGCGGAGGGCCTGGCCCTTGGTGGAAAGCCAGAGCTGTCACTGGGATGAGTGGAGATGTGACTGATCATAGGCTGTGGCAGGTGGCTGGAGCTCTAGGTGCGGAGCCACCACCAAGGATGGCAGCTAATGTGGGCCTCCATTCCTCAAGGTGGCTCCTGGGGCCATGCTGGCTTTCTGGGCCCTGAGAAGTTGTCTCCTACAGGCAGAAGAGGGAGCTAGCTCCTTTTGCCATGCCCCATGCCACCAGTCAGGAGTCCTAGAAAGTGTCTTGCTAGTTTTACAACTACCATCTTCCTTTTAACACCGAACATTCCAGATTAACAAAACAAGAAAAATAAAGTATCACAATGTGTCTGAAAACATGGTTCATCCAACCCTGAATTCTGGCTGTAACAAAGACACCAAGGGATCTGTTACAGAACGACACAGTTCCCCCTGGTTCCACTGCTGCAAGTTACACACATTCCCTAAAATCCTCTCACTTACTTCAGCTCTTAATTTTGATTAACAGCTATGATTTTTTAAAGCTTTTATATTTTTAGCTTAAGTCATCTTCTCTTAGGATTGTCAGTTCTATAAATGTGCTTCCTTCTACGTGAACTGTTGTTATTTACCATATCATTACCTCCAAATGTTCATCACCTTTGAGAAGTTGATTCTTGACCTCCACAGTGAGAAGGACTAGTCTTGACAGTGGCTCCTCAGTTTGGCCACCGCCTACCCCTTGATTTCCTTCCTTAATGTCTTACCTGCCTATTACTTTTAAAAGCATCTGGGCGGGGCGTGGTGGGTCCCACCTGTAATCCCAGCACTTTGGGAGGCCAAGGCGGGCAAAGATCACGAGGTGGAGTTCAAGAACAGCCTGGCCAACATGGCAAAACCCCGTCTCTACTTAAAATACAAAAATTAGCCAGGCATGGTAGTGGGCACCTGTAATCCCAGCTACTCAGGAGGCTGAGGCAGAAGAATCACTTGAACCCGGGAGGCGGAGGCTGCAGTGAGCCGAGATTGTGCCTTTGCACTCCAGCCTGGGCAACAAGAGCAAGACTCCGTCTCAAAACAACAACAATGACAACAAAACAAAAAACAAGCAACAACAACGAAAAAAGCATCTGAAGTTGCACAGGACTTCACATAACCATTTTGGTGCGTCAGTCGGCTTAGGATTTAGATAACGGCTTTCCAAACAAAGGGTTGGTATGAGCTGGGAGGGTGGGAGCAGGGAAATCCAAAGAGGAGGAGAAATGCTACTTGTGGACAGAATCAAAATATCTTGACGCCACATATTTGTCCCTGCTCCAAAAGTGACTCATTCAAGATGACACAAAAGGAAATCAGTACTGAAATGGGCCAAGAAAAGGCCTACATCAGACTCAGGACTGAGGAACGCAACTTAGTGGCTCAAAGTTGGGAAAGGGAAGAGAAAAAACGATGTGTGTGATGTAAGTTAAAGGATACAAAAGCTAGAGCAGGCCATCAGTAGCTCTTCTCACTAGTGCTATCACTAAATAGTCATCTTAGAAAGCCACACTATTAGGGTTTTTTCCTCAATTTGTAAAGTTGATCCTAATAAGTAATGAAGTGATACACTTTATTTAAGATTATCATGACTCTGGAATGCATTTCAAACCTGTGTAAGGTCACACTTCAAAAACATAAGCAATCCTGAGTTAGTGATCAAACATTCCACGAAGTTGGTAAGCTGTTCTTTGTATAAAAAGCTATTTAAATCTGATTACTTCATTCTGTAGTTTTGCATTTGTTTGCTTGGTGTCCTCCAAGGAGGCCAGAGTCTCAGTCTTCTCTTTGGTCATCTGTTCCATTATCTGCATGGCATCTTCCGCTGTTTGAGCAGCCTAAATACAAGGAAACACTGTGAGAAATGAGGACACCCCTTGCCAACACCGTTAGGTGAGGATCGGGCTGTGCCGTTCAGGCAGCACTCAGTGTCTGTGTGGGTAAGGGAGGCACACAGAGAGGGTGAATCAGTCACCAATCCAGTGCTGAAACAGACAGACCAGGACAGGAAAGGTCTTTACTCTAAAGTAGAATATACAGACTCTTTCCTGCCATTTTTCAATGTCAATTGTTATGCAATTTGCATGTTTTCAGAACCTCTAAACATACATCTTCCAATGAAAGTTCCAAATGACACTGGCAAGCATGCTCCCTTCATTCTGACTTAAGTTTGAGAGACTGTTCGGAGGTAACAATGAATAACATCCTAATATAGCTGAATTTCTTGGAATCATATTTTTTATTATAAGCTTAAAATATTATCCTTGCTATTTCAAATCTGGGACTTTTAAAGTCACTCAAATTTAGGCTGAGAGTTTTTCAAATAAATATAAAAATTATTTGGGCACTTCTAACATGAGGCTCAAGTGTTTAATGAGAAGTATTTAATGCAAGTTGTGGGTAATGAATAAAAACACGGCTGTGAATAAAAAGATGCATATGGAGACAAATTCTTAGCTGCTATCAAAATTAATTATAAAAAGTGAGATATAGGCCGGGCGCGGTGGCACACGCCTGTAATCCCAGCACTTTGGGAGGCCGAGGCGGGCAGATCACGAGGTCAAGAGATTGAGACTATCCTGACCAACATGGTGAAATCCCATCTCTACTAAAAATACAAAAAACTAGCTGGCCGTGGTGGCGGGCGCCTGTAGCCCCAGCTACTCGGGAGGCTGAGGCAGGAGAATAGTGTGAACCTGGGAGGTGGAGGTTGCAGTGAGCCGAGATTGCACCACTGCACTCCAGCTTGGCAACGCAGCCAGACTCTGTCTCAAAACAAACAAAAAAAAAAGTTAGATATAAAAATAAATGAAAATATAGCTAGGCATGGTGGCATGTGCCTATAGTCCCAGCTACTCAGGGGGCTGAGACAGGAGGATTGCTTGAGCCCAGGAGGTTGAGAGCAGCCTGGGCAACACAGCAAGATTCCCACCTCTAAAAAAATAAATAAATAAACAGGCCACATACAGTGGCTCATGCCTGTAATCCTAGCACTTTGGGAGGCCAAAGCAGGTGGATCACAAGGTCAGGAGTTTGAGACTAGCCTGGCCAATATGGTGAAACCGAGTCCCTACTAAAAATACAAAGCTTGGCCAGGTGTGGCAGCATGCACCCATAGTCCCAGTTACTCAAGAGGGTGAGGCAGAAGAATCGCGTGAACCTGGGAGGCAGAGGTTGCAGTGAGCCAAGGTCACACCGCTGTACTCTGTACTCCAGCCTGGGTGACAGAGCGAGATTTTCTTTTTTTTTTTTGACAGAGTCTCACTCTGTCACCAGGCTGGAGTACAGCCGTGCAATCTCAGCTCACTGCAACCTCCGCCTCCCCGGTTAGAGTGATTCTCCCGCCTCAGCCTCCCGAGCAGCTGGAACTACAGGCCCACACCACCACACCCTGCTAATTTTTGTATTTTTAGTAGAGACGGGGTTTCACCACGTTGGCCAGGACGGTCTTCATCTCCTGATCTCGTGATCCACCTGCGACAGCCTCCCAAAGTGCTGGGATTACCGGCGTGAGCCACTGCACCCAGCGAGACTCTGTCTTAAAACATAAATAAATAAATAAATAAATAAATTTCTTTTAGGCACTTGTTTATAATTTATTGGTCTAATAAAGTTTATGAAAATTCTGCAATTTTCCCTATCCAATTATCAGCCATGAAGATTTTAATGGAATCTTCCAACTCCAAATGGATAGACACAATGAAAGAGTTAAAAGCCAAACAGAAGACCCTATATTTCAATATGCGCCAATTTATTGCTTTTTTTTTTTGAGACAGATTTTTTCCCTCTTGTTGCCCAGGCTGGAGTGCAATGGCGTAACCTCGGCTCACTGCAACCTCCATCTCCTGGATTCAAGTGATTCTACTGCCTCAGCCTCCTGAGTAGCTGGGATTATAAGTGCACGCCGCCACGCCTGGCGAATTTTTGTATTTTTAGTAAAGACGGGGTTTCACCATGTTGGTTAGGCTGGTCTTGACCTCCTGACCTCAGATGATCCACCCGCCTCAGCCTCCGTGAGCCACCACGCCCGGCTTTTTTTTTTTTAAGATGGGGTCTTGCTCTGTCATCCAGACTGGAGTGCAATGGCATGATCTCGGTTTCCTGCAACTTCTGCCTCCTGGGCTCAAGCAATCCTCCCATCTCAGCCTCCTGAGTAGCTGGGACTACAGGCATGTGTCACCAAGCCCAGCTAATTTTTGCATTTTTTGTAGAGACAGGGTTTTGCCATGTTGTCCAGGCTGGTCTCAAACTCCTGGACAGAAGTCATCTGTCTACCTCAGCCTCCCAAAGTGCTGGGATTACAAGCGTGAGCCACTGCGCCTGGCCTTATTTCACTATTGCTCTTAAGCCTTTAAGAAACCACAGTTAGCTTTTTCACAAAGTTCCTCCTTAAATTAAAAAATAAATCCTTTTTATTCACAGTTTGCAATTTTTTTCAAATGGGGAGAGACTACTACAGTGAGATACTTCATAAAGAATCCCCCTTTCAGACTATAACGAACAGCTTGAGACATATAAGCAACTGACTTAATGAGGTGGATTTCCATAAGCAGAAATGAAGAAAGATGACCTACACCACTTGAGTTAGTGCACAGTGTTAGTAAACAGTCTGGGTGCTCAATACTTGACCCTCTCACTTTACCGTAAATGACTGAAGAGTCTCGAGCTCTCTAATTTTAAGAGTAAGCTTGTTCTTGTCTTTCCTCAAAGTACGGTTTTCATTTTGAGATTCTAGGAGATTGGCTGAAATATGGCTGTTGGTTTTGGCCAACTGGCTGATCTCTTTCTGAAGGATGAAGTAGCTTTCTGCCAGCGTTTCCTTCTCCTTCAGGAGCTCATCCTTTTCCAGCATCATTTCACTCTTCTCAGCCAGGAGGTTCTGGTTGTCTTGCATCACCCGGGCTTTTTCGGCCAGGGTCACCTCATGGTTCAGCTGAAGGTCATCCAGAATCTTGGTGAGGCAGCTGTGCAGTTCCTGCAGTTCTGCCTTGGATTTGGACAAGGCAGCAAAATCACTTTTCAGAGTCTTTATATGGGCAGCAAGTTGAGCTGCTTCTGCAGTCAACAGTTCCTTCTCCTCAATTATCTCTGCCACTTCTTGCTCCGATTTGGTCTTCTCTTGAAGTAGCACAAACTTCTCGGACTGTAGCTCCTCGATACACACTCTTAACTCCTCCACCTCCTGCTCCAGAAGCACCATCCTCCCGTGAAGTTGATTGTTTTCGTACAAGGATGACTCTTTCTCCTTTGCTCTGGCTTCCTGTTCCAGGATTAAGGACTGCTGCATTTCCTGGATCTCCTCGCTTAATTTCTGACACTCTTCTTGCAGGTTCAAGCTATCTCTCAGCAAAATGTTCTTCTCGGAACAACACGTGTTAAGTTCAGCATCCAAACTCTCCTTTGCTTGCAATATGTGAGTGTGTTCTTTTTCCAGATTCTTTTTGGCATTTTGAGCCTCTTTCAGCATCAAAGAGAGGTCGCACTTGCTGGCCACTAGTTCTTGGTTTTTGTTTTTTCTCTCTTGAAGCTCCTTCTTCAGAGCGTCAATATTACCGAGGAGTTTCATATTCTCTTGCACAATTATCCTTCTGTTTGCAGACTCTTGATCACATTGCCTTTTGAGGTCTCCTATAGCTTTGATGGAGTTCTCTCTCTCTGCAAGTAAAACTCCATTTTGGGTTTCCAGTGCGGATTTTTCTTTCAAGAGACTATCCTGATGCTTTTTAAGTTTAGTCATTTTCTGAGAAGCCATCTCCTTCTCGGAAGTCAGGTAAGTGATCTTCTCATTCAGGCTCATCTCAGTATGGGCAGCCTCTTCTGAGCATTTGTGGAGTTTTTCAGTGATGATTCTATTTTCACTTAAAAGTTCTTCTTTCTCAGCCAAGAGCCTTCTCTCAGAGGCAGCCAAGGTTTCTTTCTCATGCAGAAGCTGGATGCACTCAGAGTCTGTGACTGCCCGCCTGGCCTTAATTTCCTCCAAGAGCTTCGTGAGGCTTGTGTTTGTGGCCTGGAGTTGCATGGTCTCCAGCTCTGCCTTCCTCAGGGCCTTGCTGGCATCATCCAGCTGTGCACGGAGCCCACTGGCTTCTGAGCGGAGCAGCTGTTTGACCTGGAGAGCGGCCTGGAGGCTAGCATTCAGCTTTTCCTGATCGTGCAGCAGCATGTCCGTCTCTAACTGCAGATCTCTGTTGTTCTGAAGAGCATTATCTCGTTCCACCTTTAAGGCTATGCACGTGTTATCGAGATTGGACAGTTTCTCTAAAGCTGACTTTTTCTCAGCTGTGAGATCTTCAATGTCCTGTACCAAAGCTTTCTGATCTTTGACTAGCTCCTCATAAGAGCTCTGCAGCTTCTGAATGATGTCATCCTTATCTTTGGCCAAGATGAAGTTTTCGGTAATAAGTTTCTTGATCTGGTTCGCCAGGTGATCTCTTTCTTCCTGGTCCTTCTCAGTCTTAGCAATCAAAGCATCTTTGCTGAGCTGGAGCTCTTCGATGAGCGTCTGCATGCTCACCTTGGAAGCTTGCAAAGAGTCATTCTCCATATTGATCTTCAAGAGTTCTTCCTGTGCAACATTGATTTCTTTAAGCAATTTCTCTCTCTCAACAGCCAAAACTTCTTTATTGAGATGTTCCTGCTCATAATGCTTTTCAGCATCTTGCTTTTCTTCTAAGAATTTCTCCTTTTCTAAATTAAGAGTTTCATTCACTGACCACAGTTTCTGCTGGTCTCCCTGAAGTAGAGCTATTTTGGCCTCCAATTCTACAAGCTTGGATAAAAGTGAACCGTTTTCTAACTTTAAATCATTTCCCTCCTGCGAAAGAAGCTGCTTCTCTGATTTCAGACCCCTCAGCTCTTCTGACATTAGTTCAATTTCTTTTTTGGCTGATGTTAACAAATAAGTTAGCGACTACAGAAACAAAAGATGGAAAGAATGGAAACAAAAATGAAATCAAGCAGACAAATGCAAGCCCAAATAACCTAATGTAACCTAAATGATAAAACCTTTACAATTTCTACAATAAACTTTATAGAAACTATCTGAATAACAAGGGAAAGAAACTAAACAGAGCCCATAAAAAGATAAGTCAAAAGTAGCTTTGCAAAGTGCTTCTTTATCTGTTAGCTTATTTTATCTTTGAAACAACTTGTGAAATTATTCCCAGTAGCTACCTAGAAGACAAAAACAGTAGCTTGATTTTAATATCAGGGCAAAAGATTCTTTCTTGCCATTCCAATTATCGAATTACTTTGAATACAGAAAGGATTCATAGAAGAATTTTTAAAAATACAATTAAAAGAAGTACAAAAAGTCAGTACATTTTAATAAAAAAAAAGGAAGGGGCATAACAAGGGAAAATAAACTATTGCCTTCCAAACTCACCGCAGAACCTTACTTAAGGACAGCCACTGGGCTGAGAGTGATTTAGTCCTAATATCACATATAACTTAAAAACTACAGCCTAATTTCTAGGCTTTGGTGACTAAAATGAATAGATTTTTTTTTAATTTACTGAATTATAATTTGACCACAGTGTCTATAACAGTGCTGTCCAGAATTTTCTACAATGATATAAATTTTTTTTTTTTTTGAGACTGAGTCTCGCTGTATTGCCCAGGCTAGAGTGCAGTGGTGCAATCTCAGCTCACTGCAACCTCCGCCTCTGGGTTCAAGCCATTCTCATGCCATAGCCTCTCGGGTAGCTGGGATTACAGGGCTCCACCACCACGCCCAGCTAATTTTTGTATTTTTAGTAGAGACAGGGTTTCACCATGTTGGCCAGGCTGGTCTCAAACTCCTGACCCCAAGTGATCCACCCACCTAGGCCTCCCAAAGTGCTGGGATTACAGGCATTAGCCACCATGCCCGGCTGATATAAATGTTCTTATTTGCAGTCCCATCATGGTGACCTTAGGACTACTGAGCACCTGAAATGTGGTGAGTGCAACTGAGGAGCTAAATTTTTAATTAAAATGTAACAAATTTAAATTTATTTATTTATTTTTTGGAGAGAGTCTCACTCTGTGGCCCAGGCTGGAAGGAAGTGGCGCGATCTCAGCTCACTGCAACCTCTGCCTCCCAGGTTCAAGCGATCCTCTTTTAAGCATATACAAAAATAGAGAAAATAATGTAGACCGCATATATTTCCATATTAAGGTTTTTATTTTTATTTTTTTTTTGAGACAGAGTCTCACTCTGTCACCTAGGCCAGAGTGTGGTGGCACCATCTCAGCTCACTGCAGCCTCCACCTCCCAGGCTCAAGGGATTCTCCTGTCTCAGCTTCCTGAGTAGCTAGGACTACAGGTGCGTGCCACCACGCCCGATTAATTTTTTGTATTTTTAGTAGAGACAGGGTCTCATGATGTTGCCCAGGGTGGTCTCTAACTCCTGAGCTCAGGCAATCCGCTCACTTTAGCCTCCCAAAGTGCTAGGATTACAGGTGTGAGCCACCAGAACTGGCTACAAATTTAAACTTGAATGGCCTCACATGGCTGGTGGCTACTGTATTAGGCAGCACAGCTATAGCCCACTGGCTCTTAAAAGTAGGGAATAAGGAGGCTTCATGGGCTCCATGAACCTTGTTGAGTGCACACATAAACTTTCCCGAAAAAATATCTGTAGATTTCATTAGATTTTTCCAAAGAGTCTGGGACTGATTAAGATCCACTGAAATCAGATACCAGACAACTTTGGAGGGGAACAGTCCTGGCATTTTAACTCAGTGACCCTTGCACAAAACCAACCAACAAAATTAGTGAGACTGGCCAGGAATGATGGCTCACACCTGCAATCCCAGCACCTTGGGATGCTGAGGCAGGTGGATCGCTTGCATCCAGGGGTTCGAGACCAGCCTGAGCAACATAGCGAGACTCTGTCTCTACAAAAAAAAATTAAAAATTAGCCAGGTGTAGTGGCACGTGCCTTTAGTCTCAGCCACTTGGGAAGCTGAGGCAGGGGGATCACTTGAGCCCGAGAGGCTGAGGCTGCAGTGAGCCATGATTGTGCCAGTGCACTCAGCCTGGGTGACAAAGTGAGACCTTGTCTCAAAAAACAAACAAAAACGGAGGAGACCTTGCATCAGCTTCTACAATGCTGTGGTTTGCTCAGGCTGCAGCATTTTAAAGAAAATACAGAAAAAACCTGAAGTCTGCACAGATAAAGGAAACCACAAAGACAAAAGATCTGGGAATTGTATCTAGTGTTAAATGGCTCACAAAACTGGAGGTATTTCACAGAAAGAAGAGAAATCTTCAACTATCAGCTGTAGAAGAGGGAGAATATGGGCCTCCCAGATGACATGCACGGCGCACACACACCATGTCACGTCCACTTAGTTAGCAAGAGGCTTTTCATGAGACTGGTTTCAAGTCCTAATATGCTTTTTTATCATTTCTTTCTACTAAACTCCCAAAACACATAAAAAATAAATAAAGACGAATATTTACTTTCCTTTGAGCAATAAAAGGTTAAATAGTGGGAAGGTTGAACTTCGTGAAGTTACCAGAGTCACAAAATATACTGGTCAGGCCAGGCACGGAGGCTCACACCTGTAATCCCAACACTTTAAGAGGCCAAGATGGGAGGATTGCTTGAGCCCAGGAGTTCAAGACCAGCCTGGGCAACATAGCAAGACCCCACTCTCTACAAAAAAAAAGAAAAAGTAAAAAATATATATTGGGCACAGATACAATCCTGAAACCATAAAATGAAATCCAACATATCAAGTTCTGTTCTATCTACTAACAGGGTGTTTCCTCCCTGCCCTTGAATCCAGCTTCCTCGTCAATAAGCTCACGGTACCTTCCTGGGGACACACAAAAGCCCTCTGTGGAGTTCTCAGTTCTAACTCTTCCTGGAAGAGCTCTGTTCCTCCAACCAGGCTCTCTCTAGTCCTGATTCCTTGCTTGCTTGCTTCATGTGACCTCTGCCTCTTGCTTTACTGCAATGTCTCTCCTAACCCTAGTGCAAGGCGGCAATAAGCATGGCCAATATTAGAGGAACAAGCAGGCAAGCAGAGCTCAGGCAATGGAAGAACCTTTGTGATGGCTGGGAAACAAGCAGCACGGGGGTGACAGCTACACACACCATTCCAGGAAAGACCGGCCGCCATCACCGTCCCTGAGAAGGAATGGCAGCTGGCACAAAACACTTGAAGCCATAGGAAACGTAACGTACCACCCACGCACTCAGAAGGGTAACGTTTGTAGAGGCCATCGTAACTTGTCCCACTGGATGCTGCTTTCTAAGCACCCTTCCTGCCTTGACACAGAGCTCAGGCAAGCTACAGCACAAGGAAATTCTCTTGCATCACGTACTTTGGCTTTGTCGGCTTGCTTTCTCAGCTCCTCCAGCTCCTGCAGCAAGCCACTGTTCTCCTCCCGTGCGCCCTTCAGCTTGTCCTCTGTGTCCAGCAGCGTCTTCCGGAGGTTCTGCAGGATTTCTTCATGCTTGGTTTTTGTCTCAGAAGTGGCCTTCTCATACCCGGCTTTCAGCTCCTGACACTGGTTGTGGCTCGTTTCCATCTTCTTTTCCTGCAGAGACCCCGAGTGAGGGAATCAGTCATCTGCCCATGTGTGTACTACCCCTTGCCTTCCTTTCCAGCCAACAGACCCACTGAGTCTCTCCTTACCAGGTCCGACAATTTCCTCTCCAATTCTTTCTTTTCTTCCTCATGCTTTTCAGCTGCTTCTTGCTGGCTCTGTTCAGCTTTGAGAGTCATGTCCTCAATACTTTTTTGCAGAAAACTTGCATTTTCATTAGCCTTTGTAAGTTTTAGCTGTAATTCTTCTACATATCTAGAAAAAGTTTCAACATAAGGTGTCAGATTTTTCATAAGAATGTTTTAAATTTCAGAGTTATATTAAAATATACTACTAACAACAACTGTAGTAATTATTTTTTAAAGTTATGTGTAATTAATAACATCTGAACTAGGCAAGAAATTTTTAAATGCTTTGCCTAATCATTTTACCAATTATGACAGTTACAAATACATTATTTACAGTAACAACTACTATAATTGTGAAGGTTTACTATTTTACATCAATAATTTAAAAAGGAAAAATGAGTGAAAAATAAACTTATTAAAGGAAATGAGGCCAAGTGTGGTGGCTTATGCCTATAATCCCAGTAACCTGGGAGGTCAAGATGAAATCACTTAAGTTCAGGAGTTCGAGACTAGCCTGGTCAACATTGTAAAACCCCGTCTCTACTAAAAATACAAAAATTAGCTGGGTGTGGTGACGCATGCCTGTAATCCCAGTTACTCAGGAGGCTGAGGCAGCAGAACTGCTTGAGTCCGGTAGAAAGAGGTTGCAGTGAGCCAAGATCGCGTCACTGCAGTCGAGGCTGGACAACAAAGCAAGACTCCGTCTCAATTGAAAATAAATAAAGGAGGTCAGGTGCGGTGGCTCATGCCTGTAATCCCAGTACTTTGGGAGGCCGAGGCGGGTGGATCATGAGGTCAGAAGATCAAGACCATCCTGGCTAACATGGTGAAACTCCATCTCTACCAAAAATACAACAAATTAGCCAGGCATGGTGGTGGGTGCCTGTAGTCCCAGCTACTCCGGAGGCTGAGGCAGGAGAAGGGCATGAACCTGGGAAGTGGAGCTTGCAGTGAGCCAAAATCACACCACTGCACTCCAGCCTGGCCGACAGAGTGAGACTCTGTCTCAAAAAATAAATAAAATAAAATAAAATAAAATAAAGGAAATGAGTATTTTAAAATTTTAGCAGACTAGATAACCAAAAATTCATTCTAGTGCTTCTGGAGGACAGAAGATACAAAAATGACAATAACTCGAAGTTCTACTTTAAAGAGACCACGTGGTTGAACAAAAACATGTATATAAAACATGGGGGGCCGGCACATTGGCTCACGCCTGTAATCCCTGCACTTTGGGAGGCCGAGGTGGGCGGACCGCCTGAGGTCGGGAGTTCAAGACCAGCCTGACCAACATGGAGAAACCCCGTCTCTACTAAAAATACAAAATTAGCAGGGCGTGGTGGCGCATGCCTATAATCCCAGCTACTCAGGAGGCTGAGGCAGGAGAATCGCTTGAACCTGGGAGGCGGAGGCTGTGGTGAGCCAAGATGGCGCCACTGCACTCCAGCCTGGGCAACAAGAGTGAAACTCCATCTCAAAAAAAAAAAAACATGGGACGTTGACCAAGAAAACAGACTATCAGATGAATCACAGATACGAGAGGGAAACTTGGGGGCACTTCTGGCTTTTACATCCACAAAACACCTACAAAAATGGAGCTTTTTGAAGGCACTGAGCCACCACTACCTGGGCAGCAGCACCACCTCAAGGCAAGTTTGACCAAAGTTGCCCAACCAAGGCCTGACCACCACTCAGTGCGGGCAGAATTGTGTGAGGGTGAAAGACTGGATGTCTTAATAAATAGAACTCTGCAGGTATTAACACTTTTAAGAAGTAAAAGTCTAATGCCTACAGACTTAATTTATAAATCTTTGCCTTATAAATTCTTTGATTTTTATATGACAGCTATTAAAAGAAAAAGATCAAAGCAACAAGAATTCCAAATAAAGACAAGAACAGATATTAAGACAGAGGAAACTTCAGCACTGAGGAAGTACAATGCAGTTTTTGGTTTTGTTTTTTTTTTTGAGACGGAGTCTTGCACTGTTGCCTGGGCTGGAGTGCAATGGCACAATCTTGGCTCACGGCAATCTCTGCCTCCCGGATTCAAATGATTCTCCTGCCTCAGGCTCCAGAGTAGCTGGGATTACAGGTGCATACCACCACACTCAGCTATTTTTTTGCACTTTTTTAGTAGAGACAGGGTTTCACTACGTTGGCCAGATTATTCTTGAACTCCTGACCTGTGATCCGCCCGCCTTGGCCTCCCAAAGTGCTGGGATTACAGGCGTCAGCCACTGCGCCTGGCCTACAATGCAGTTATTAAGAGCAGGAGGGGCTCTGGGACCAGACTGATCAGATCTGAAACCTCAGGCTTCACCCCAGTAAGCTTCAGTTTCCCTCCCTTTCTTCCTTTTTATTATTTATTTATTTATTTAGAGACGGAGTTTTGCTTTTGTTGCCCAGGCTGGAGTGCAATGGCACAATCTCGGCTCACCACAACCTCCGCCTCCCAGGTTCAAGTGATTCTCCTGCCTCAGCCTCC